GTGTTCTTCATATCGTTATATATATCTACTTCGAAGTGCGACAGAATTATGCAAATTCAGCGTAATTCTTTTGCAAAAAGAGAAACAAAAATTAGGTCGTACTTCAACTGGCTGAGTATTATATTATGAAATGCAATACGATGCTAGGCGCCCCAGTTAAAATAATTATTGATTACGTTAGCATAATATCACCTGTACAATTAAGTATAAATAGTTCCAACTGTAATAAAGAAAGCCAACTGTTATCTCAGCAATTTACACAATTCACACAATCGCCACAACAACAACCAAAACAGCCGCGCACACGCCAGCCCAGGGAAACGAATTTCACCCAGATTCCTCAACAAAACACTTAAACCTGGCATCGACTGAATACACAAAACAAGCAAACTCCCATATCTTCTCCCTCCCAAAACTATCTAACTATATATTACTAAATATTAAAAATGCAACAAAAACAGAAATATCATTCCTATTAGACACAGGGGCAGACATCAGCCTCTGCAAGGCGCACCTTCTGAAATATTACCCACTAAACAACTCAGAATCCATTAACCTAACAGAAATATCCAACGAACGCATAAAAACATTGAAAACCACACATTTGAATATAAATCTAGGAAACGGAATCACTCAACATAAAATACAATTAGTAGACAGGAACTTCCCAATAAAAGCCGATGGAATCATAGGAAGAGATTTTCTGCATAAGCATGCATGCAACATAGATTATGAAAATTTCTCTCTTACAATCAATACACATGATGACGAATCCAGCTCCCCATATACAATGAAATACTTAATAAAAGCAACATATTTCTTTCCCCAAGATGCGAAATCATAGTCCCCATAGACAGATATTAGTTTGGTGAAAAAGAAATCCATTATTTTTTCGGTAGATGGCTGATAGATTTCTCGTAAAGTATCGATCAAACCATTTCCGATCCTGTACATTTACATACTGTCCATTTCGCAGTAAAAAGAATTCTTTTGTTGTTTTTTGTTTGGTGCATTCAGTTGTGAGTTACAGCGTGTTAAAAATGGAAGTAAACAAAGAGAAAATTCGGTACATTTTACAGTTTTTCTTTGACAAAGGCGAAAATGCAAGCCAGGCGGCTAAAATTGTGAATGGTGTTTATGGTTCCGATACTGTAACAGCCAATTATGTGCAATTTTGGTTTCGTAGATTCCGTTCAGGAATTTTTGATGTTAAAGATGCACCTCGCCCAGGTAGGCCGGTCGTCGAAAATGTCGATCAAATCGGAGAAATAATCGAAGTTAACCGGCATGTTAGCAATCTTAACATCGCCCAGGAGCTAAAAATCGACCATAAAACAGTTTTTAACCATTTACACAACGCTGGATTCAAAAAGAAGCTCGATGTTTGGGTGCCACACCAATTAACAGAGAAAAACATGATGGATCGAATTTCCATCTGCGAAGCCTTGGCCAAACGGAATGAGATAGACCCATTTCTTAAACGGATGGTGACTGGAGATAAGAAATGGATCACATACGATAACCCTGTGCCAAAACGATCGTGGTCAAAGAGCGATGATGCACCTCAAACGGCCAGGAAGGTTTTGCTATGCATTTGGTGGGACTGGAAGGGGATTATTTATTATGAGTTGCTTCCATATGGCCAAACGCTAAATTCTGATCTCTACTGTCAACAACTGGACCGTTTGAAGATAGCGATTGACCAGAAACGGCCAGAATTGGCCAACAGGAGAGGTGTCGTGTTCCACCAGTACAACGATAGGCCACACACATCTACAGTGACTCGCCAGAAACTTCGGGAGCTTGGTTGTGAAGTTTTAATGCATCCGCCACACAGTCCGGACTTGGTACCAAGCGATTATCATCTCTTTTTTGCATTGCAAAATTTCTTTAATGATAAAAATTTGGAATCTAGGGAGGATTGTGAATATCGACTACTAGAGTTTTTTGCAAATAGAGACCAGGACTTCTATGAGAGAGGCATTTTGAAGTTACCTTTAAAATGGCAATAAATCATACAACAAAACGGTGCATATTTGACCCAAATCGGACAATCCGAAGCATGTTAAATAAAGTCCTGAAGTTCATATAAAAATGTTGGATTTCTTTTTCCCCAACCTAATATAAAGAACTGGCGACTGGTAGTTGACTACAGAAAACTAAATGAAAAAATAGTAAACGAGAAATTACCCCTCACAAGATTAGAAGACATCTTAGACAGGCTAGGACGAGCAAAATACTTCTCCACTTTGGACATGACAAACTCATTTCATCAAATAAAACTTAACAAAAACTCGCGAGCCTTAACCGTCTTTTCAACACCAAACGGACATTATCAGTACACGAGATTTCCATTCGGACTAAAAATTTCGTCCAACAGTTTTCAAAGAATGCGAACCATAGCTTTATTAGGACTATACACCAAAGCATTTTTATACGTAGACGAAATAATAATACACGGATGTAGCTTTGAGCATCACAACGGAAAACTAACGAAAGTACTCGCACGACTTAAGAAATACAACCTAAAACTAAATCCATCCAAATGCAACTTCCTACAACGAAAAGTAAACTATCTAGGACACCTAATAACACCCGACGGCATAAAACCAGAGCCCTCTAAGTACGAAACAAGAAAAAGCTATCCATAACCCAAAAATACAGACAAAGTAAGAAAATCCTCAAAATAGGAAAAGACTTCAACTGGACAAACCAATGCAATCAGGCATTCCTAGAACTCAAAAACAAACTAATGTCCCCACCCATATTACAACATCCAAATTTCGATAAAGCCTTTATTTTGACAACTGATGCATCAAATTATGACTTAAGAGCAGTACTATCACAAGGAGAAATAGGCCAAGACTTACGCAAGCAAATGCCGAAACAAACACGGAAAAAAACAAACCAATCATGGAAAAAGAACTACTCGCAATCCACTTTGGAATAACACATTTCAGACCTTACTTATTCGGCAAAATATTCACAGTAATAACTGATCACAGACCATTAGTAGCACTATTATCCCACAAAAACCTCACCTCAACCTTAACCAGAATGAGAATAGAATTATCGGACTACGATTTCAACATAATTTACTAAAAAAGTTCAAGCAACACTAACGGTGACGCCTTATCAAGTATAAATATAAATTCTGTTATATTAAAAGAGATGATTCCAATATCCAGAGAAGAAAACCAGGAACGGATAAAAAAGATGTTAGTCATAACCAGAAGCAAATCCGCAAAAGAAAACACAAACGATGAACAGCTAAATATGTAATGCACGTCAATAAATGACATTAAGAACACAGGAAAATTTGAATTGTTAGACAGTTGCCAGTGTAAATGGCACAATCGTATACTCAACTCCGAACAGAAAAGAACCGTAGCAAATATACTACGAGGAGAAGTTTACAACATGCCATACGTGATTTTCGGACCCCCGAAAATCACCATGAAAATGATGCAACTTGACGATTTACTGCCGCAATCACCAAACCGACCCAAAACGCATGGCATATTCTTCTGTGAAATACGTAGTGAAAATATGCAGGAAAAAGACTCGCCGTCGTGGTATATTCCTTACGAAGCGAAGATGGTAATCGCTTCTATCTAGTATTTCATAACATTTATTTCATTTTTGAAGGTTTTCCTAATGACAGTTAAATTGAATCGTAAAAACATTAAACCGGAATCCATCGACATTATAACACCGTACATAAAACAAGCAGAACATTTGCGCAACCTTTTGGATGTTGCCGACGTAGCAGCGCCTAAAATTGGTTCTACAGAGCAATTCCAAGCGCAGGTATAATTTTTATAAAATTTCACTAATGTTCGAATTAATAGTAATGTTGCTTTCGCTTAGTTTTTTTTTAAGAAGGCGACATCATTTTGATCTCAACAATGAGATCAAATGAGAACTACATAAAAACCGATTTGCGCCTTGGGCAAGGATTCATCGAACACGAGAAGCGGGTTAACTTAGCAATAACTCGCGCACGGAGCCTTGTTATAATTTACGGCAACCCCTTCCTACTCATGTTCGATGCGCCATGCATTACGTTTCATTCAAAACGAGAAACTGATTAACGTCGCGATATCTCCACCTCGTTACCTTCTTCTAATATACGGCAATCCCGACCTACTCTCTTTGGATCCTCGTTCGCGCACGATCATAAAATACTGCGTCGATAATGATGCGTACCTCGCTTGTGATTTGCGGACAATATTGTCTGACCCATCAAAACTAGTCGAGGGGATAGTTAATAATCAAGATAATTAAATTACTTTTGGTCTAAATATTCTCAATAATTGAAAATTTGTTTGTCTAAAAATTGCGTCCATATGAGCGTAAGCGTATAAAAATTGCGTCCATATGAGAGTAAGCCTATATGTTTGATTACAATTCTCAATAATTGAAAATGTGTTTGTTTATTAATTGCATTTGCACCAGCAAAAAGAGTGTTCGGTATCGCAAGGCTATACCATCAGCCTCGACATGGCCAAAAATGCTTAGATTTTATTAAAAATAAGTTTTTAACGATTTAGATCTATGTTCGGAACGTTTTGACGCAGCCCCTTGCCGTGGAAGTTATATGCGCTACGCTTATAACAAGGAAAGTGGACGTTGCGAAACTTTTACGTATGGTGAGGGTCGTGGGAATCGAAATAATTTCTTAACTGAAACTGATTGCCTAAATACTTGCAGCATTCTGGCAACATCTAGTGTTCAAATTGTAACATCAAGATTTAACTTTCCTGAAACCACTTATGCTTCCCATATTCCAGATGATAGTGTACCAGAAGGTTGCATTAAGTCAGAATGGTCAAATTGGTCAGAATGCAGTGTTCGCTGCGGTCTCGATTATTCTGAACGTTATCGCTACGTTATCAATGAACCTAAAAACGGGGGTCAGCCTTGTCCAAAACGCGCTGTTAAGAGGTGTCGTCGCACAATGACTAATTGTTAACTCTTATTTTTAATCTTGTTTCAGAATAGATATTTTTTATTCTATTTGATGATAAAAAAAAATGTGAAAGTGCTTCCATATATGCTAAGGAAAATGAAGTAATTGTTAATTTTAATTCGTTCGATGTCCTAAGTTTAGTCGTAAATTTTAAGAAAAACTCTTTGTTTAGCCCACGTCAAAAGTGATGCGAAACGGCTTGTTGAAGTACTTGCTAGTTTTGTACGTTTAAACATTTTGGAGGATGTTCATGAATTTAAAACGAATATTTTAAAATAACATTGTTTTTAATGAAATCTTTTTATATTGGCAATTCTCTCATGGCACTACTAAATATATACATATAATCTTCTGCTTGATTTTTGCCCAAAATCCTTCTCTTATGCATTGAGAATTCGAAATGTACAACGCTTTCTTTCTTTGCTTCAATAATGGTTCTGGTCATCACTTGGAACATATTGGAAGACTTCGTAAAGTGAAAAATTTCAGAAAAAAATGATAAGCAAACAGCTTCGAAGAATTAAAACTTACCTCTGTTGTTATTGTGCAGGTTTTGAGCAACTGTTCTTTGTAATCAAATATGGAGAATATTTATAGATATATTCTTTCATTTTATTATTATTTATATTTTCACATAAAAATATTATGAAATTTTCTTATTATACTAATGCGATATATAAAAACGCTTTACGCACAATATATAACACAAAATTAGACATATAAATATTTAAAACGCTGACAACAACTTTTAGCTTCAAGCAGCTTACCGCAAAAAAATTCAGCAACGCAACATTGGGTCTATTTATCCTAGCCGACCCAAGAGATTTTTCTGAAAAGTAAACATATATAATAATTGATGCTGAAAACTGGTCAACAATCGTATTCCAACCATTTCAAATTAAGAATCGTTAACTTCACTCGCCAATTATGGATTTTTCAAATTTTTTCATTTTTATCAATGACGAAAGCAAGCGGACAAATTTGAAAATTAATTTAATATTTCCGAAGGTGTTCATGTGGATGAAAATCCCGGTAAATTAATTTAGTTAATTGCAGAAGGTCTACCTATAAACACCGTAATACGGATGAATAAATTCAATATTTTCTGTCGAAAACAATTTCAAATGAGCTCCACGAACAATCCACAATTATTGTCAATTTTCACTACAACACTATAACACAGATCAAAGAGTTAATATTTAAGTTTTCCTATGTCCTGCCTATCACAAGTGATGAGGCACTAGTCATGTTCTGCTATTTCGAGAGAATTCTCGAGTTCAAGAAACTGGCAAGCAAATCGAATATTTTCCACATCACCTTTTGTTTAAAGTACTCCTTAATTCAACCTAGAATAAGCGCAAATATGAAACAGCGTCGGAGAAGTCTTTCATAAAGATTTCAATCCTTTAAAATTGTTTTGTTTAAAACTTCTAATTCTTACTGCACTTCCTTCGGAGCGTCATAATTGTTTCCACAAAAATTGTATAAATCCATACACTATAAAATTTGATAGGCGCACCAAAAATTTTCCAATTTTGTAAACGTGCTATAGCATCGCCAGATGCTAAAGACCCGGTATCATTGATCAAAAACTGTTTAATACTATTGCTGCGGCCTTCCACCTATACAGAAAAATTCAATATTGTCTTTGAAGGAGAGCATTCTCTCCTTGCATTATTTGCCCATACGTACCCAATAAACAAATGTGTTATAGGATCATATTCTTCCGCTCTTGAAAACCCTACAACGCTTCGCCTAATACAGTGATTTGTTCACTTTAATGATAATACACTGTAAATTATAAGCAAAGACATATATTTCATGAGATTGGGACGGTAACCAAAATGGCAACTGACGTGGCCCACATTTAGCAAAGGTAGTCTACTTATTAAATATTTCATTATTTTTCATCTGTTTTGACAGAGAAACTAAGGTGAGCGGTGGCATTTTGTTTGTCAATCTAAAATTAAGCAGAAATAATTAAATAACTTATAAATAACAACAAATAACAGTAAAGATAAATGCAAATTTACCTTTGGAATATAGCGAATATTACTTCATTAAAAAAGTATTAAATAATTTTAAAATATATTTCTGTAAAAGAGAAGATTCGGGCAAAATATATTTCTGTAAGTAGAACAAAATACATGAACTTACTGTGGTAAAACGTTGAAACAATTCTTTTAAGATATACCTTTTTTGTTGGTCAAATAAATGACAAAACATAAATTTGTTCAAAACTTTCTCAATTTTCGTTTCTTTCTGTGACCGCACCTCAAGTATGTATATATATATATATATATATTTTATTTAAAAGATATTTTAGATAACTAAAATAAACTAAAATAATATGACGATTGCTTTACGTTGGGAAATTGTAACAGCTGGTAAAATAAGTCACAATTTTTGCGCTGCTTTAAGCACCTTACCATTTGATGAGCTTCAAAATGAGTGTCATTTTGTTAAAACGATTGCAAAGTGCAGAAGCAGACTTCTAAGACTCTATAAAGCGGATAGATTCTTGGCCTGTTTTAAGTTTGCAATGCACCTAAGTACGTTCGTCTCTCTATCTGCCTTGTAGTATCTATGGCAAGGATTCTCCCGGCTAAGAATTTGGAAGTGGCCTAAACTTTTCAAAGGACAACCACGCCAACAACGCCTAAAAAAATTAATTTTAGTTAGGAAAAGTCTTTGCCGAAATTAAATTTTCAAGAGGTGAGATGAGTTAGAGTTTTGATTCACAATCTACATTTTGTAGGGCCTAGAGCAATAACGTTGCTAAGATGTTCGCTTTTACTTACTGTCACACAAAAGCAGATTATAAGCATTTTCCTAAGCTCTTTAATTGCAATTGGTTCCCGAAACCTTCACAAGAAGGTTTTTCTAAGTTTTGTACAGGTTAGAATTTATGTCTTCATCAGCTAAGCTGCAAGTGCCTTTTGTCACTGGGAATTATTTCTTAATGGATTCTACAAATATAGATCTTTTATAATTTTCGTGTTACTTTTTGCGACATCCACGATGTGTTCTAGTATATTAGCTGCTTAGAAGTGTCACATGAATTATTTTTTGGAATCTTACGTTTAGCTCTCTTTAATTCGTCGAAAGCAGTTTGAAAAATTGTGACAGAAAGAGGTCTTTAATAACCAAAGGATAGTTATCCAAAGGTAAATGTTAACAGCTTAAAGTTATTATGAAAAACGAAAAAAAAACATAAGAAAATTATACGAAAGTATTTATACTGTTGCACTTAAATAATAATAATGATAATAAAATATGTTTTTTTTTCAAAGGTTTAAGTTAAAAAAATAACAGTAATACAAAAAATCTTTTTTTAGCAAGAAATCTCTAAACGAGTGTTTGTCATTTAACGCTGTTTCGCTCTCTCTTTCTTCCTATCTTCTTCATCTTCAATCTTATCATCGTCATCTTCGAGTCATCTGGTTAAACATTTCGTTCCCTTTAGTTATACTTAAGCTTATATTTATAATTATAATTAAATTTTTATTTATTTATTTATTTTTTTTTAAAGTTTAAGTAGAAATGTACGCGTTTGAGTTTGAAAAAAAAAAACTGTTCGCTTAAATTGTAGAATGCATAAATTTGGAGTTAGAAAGTAGTAAAGAAGGATTAATATTTCGAAAACAGACATATTTTCTTCTTTTGTTTGTTTAGATTTTTTTTTTTTTCATTTTCTTCGTTTAAATTTAATTTGTCAATTTCTCCCATATTAGCATGACCATGCATATGTTTGGAGTGACTAAATACGGTACTAGACCCTTATAAAAACCACGCATACGTTCGTACCTCCATATTTGTTTAATACAATCCCAACTTCCATTGTAATTGTGATGATGATCCTGTAGACGCGCTCTTACCACCGGATATGGACATGTTGCGGCCGCTATTAATTTTGATATAGCAGAAAATACAAATTCCATCCAATTGAGAATGTTTGAATAAATTTCTTTGCATGTATTGTGCACCTTTCGACAATAAGCGCATATTCGTTCTCAATAATTCAACAGGTCTTTGTAAAAAAGCCATCGATGCGAGATTTGTATGATACGCAGATGAATCAATAATGAGAAATTTTTGTGTATTCTTCCAAGTCTAAATTTCATCGCTTTCATCGTTTTATAACCATCAAACAATATTTTTTAACCCAAGTAATCTCACTTCCGACTTTTTTCACACTTTCATATGATCATCTATTTAAATAATTGAAAAAAAAAAACACTTTTTTTATATTGCTTTTCTTTTTTTTGTTAATACACCACACAGCAACTCCAATTCAGCTATAAAAGAGTGTTTTTAAAAATTTATAGAAACATTTTATACAAAAAAAGGAAAAATATAAAAATGTCAACGATACTCGAAACCGATCCCTTTTTTGTTTTGAGTAAATATGTATTTATTTGAATGAATTTTTGAAAAACAATTGAATGGAAGTTTTTACATTATATTAAGCTATTCAAACATGAACAAGTCACTAATTTCGTATTCTTTTCGTTCCGTCGTGCTGCGACGTCTGGACGTTTAAGATTTAACTACATTTGTTACTTTTACATGCTAATTGCACCCTGAACCTCATCTTGTTTGCTAGGAAGCTTTTGATAAGAAAATTTTTATTTGTACTGTTATCTAAGCTTTTAAGGGCGGAACATATTTTCACACATAAGTTGCGGAAACCATCAAATCAAAAGTGCGTGCGGTTCAAATTGTAAATCAGAAACCCATAGAATATGTAAATAAATAAAGCCGCCCGATTACCAATAATTATGGCTTACCATCTTACTATCGAATGAAAATTGTTTACAAACTGTTTAGATTGCAAATTGAGTTTACTAGATATAGGGAAGCATAAATTGGCTCCAGTTGAAAGTTCCTCTAAAGTGCATTTTCGGTTGCGCGCTAACAACGAAAACAAAGCATATAAGCCTGTTGTATCAAAAAAATGCTTTTTTTTAAATTTCTAACGCATGGATTCAAATTTCTTGCATAGTGCAATTTTTAGTCTGGCTAATAAAATTATAACCTTGAGCAACTTTTTAGATTTGGTAAAAGTTATGGGAATTGAGCGAATAGCTTCAATTTCGTATGAAGCCGTGACAAGTATAATAAATGGCGGCTGAACGCTATCAGTTACGTATGACATAAATAAGTGTATGCATATAAATATAAAGTGTTGCACAAGCAGAGACAACAGTGTACATACTTGTATGTGTACTCATAAAAACCATGCAGTTGTAATCAAAAGCAAAAATTAAGCAATTGTTTTGGTTCATTTATAGTAGCATATTGTGCAGAAATGTTTCAAAGGGTGGTCGAGATGACTAGTAGTTTTATAATCGAATTTAGTGGAATTTCATCCGAAGAATGGTGACAACACAACATGAGTTCCAATCATTGGTTATTGATGGTAATTATTGAATTTTTATTATTTGTTTTTTTTTTTTTCATTTTTGCATTACTTTTTCTTTTCATACAGCTTACCTTCTTTTATTTGTTTCAATTTTCTTCGCCTACGTTACATGACCTACACGATGTTATAAACTTTGCCAATGGGGACTTTAAGAATTTTAAATATTTTAAAAATCTACCAACTGAAAATCCAAAAACAGCGTCATCAGCTAATCATTTCTTGGAACATTTTCAGAAGAAAAAGGCTATACTGGACTATTTTGAAAATTTATTCTTTGGTAATTCTCCGTTCATACCGGAAAGTGAAATTCCCTTTGATCCTCATTTCGGGAGAAATTGGTGTCCATATCATACAAAACGTTATGGTTGGCGAGGCTATCGTTTGATAGACGCTTTAGGTCGAGGTGGTTTCAGTGTTAGCAATTATCTGCATTGAATTCTTTTCCTAAATGATCTATACATTTCGTTTTACTTTCAAGTATAGTTCTACAAAATTTAGGAAAGTGATACAGTATGTAGCAGTTCAAACTCGTTTTTTACTGATTTTAATTCACCTTACTTCTTAGATAATGTAGGGTATTTGTTTTTTGTTAACTTATTAAATAATTTATTAAGTTTAAATTATCATTTCTCTTAGTTTTATTGAATTCTTTTCAAAAATTGTTTTAATCAAACTCGTCGCTTTTGCGTGGATATATATAAAACATTATTGCCACGTATAAAAGCATCACCGTATTTATTTTTCAATTGACCATTTACATATTCCTCAGTCTGATCCAAAGCTATATTCATGTAGCCATCCAAACAAGCTAAAACTCCTTAGTAAATAAAATAAATTTATTGAAAATGGCACATGGCATTTTTATTTAAGCAAACAACCTCTATAATCGACACCACTGTTTAGTTTTACCACTACAGGCCGGCCAACGCTTAATACTCACGAAAAAACTGCAACTACTACTACTACTCTATTGGTTACTGTCTATATCGGTAAAGAGTTTTTTATAATAAATTCGATAAAACTACTTGTTCAATGCCAATATCGGTATAATTCGACGTGCAGTACAGCAAATGAAAAATAGTTGATATGGTAAAGCAGACAACGCCCTTGGGGCTAAAGATTGTACATAACCCAAAATTTTAATGCGGCCGTAATCCCATTAGCAGACAGTTGAAGGTTTCTAGGTCAACAATGAACAAATGCACGTTAATTAACAGTCAATATGTAATACACAAAATATTTACCTGCACATATCGGCCAATGGCGTGATAACTTCGCTCGGCCAACGCATCGTAAACAAATTTTTGATAATTAAATCGCGATATTCCAAACCGCCCATAGTTATGCCGTTGACTGTAAGAATTCGTCGGTCAGTAAGTATACGTGAAACTAGTGACAGTAAATCTTTCCGTCCGACACTTTTAGGTCTGCCACACGTAAATGATCTACATAACCTTCTAAAATCTCTGCTCGCTAGGAAATGTTTGTAATTCCAGACACAAATGTGTGAATAAATCATAAGTTTACCCATAAGAATCAGTTTGTTCTCCAGAATGTCACTGAGCTAAATAAATGCCGAGCATTTTATGAAGTATTTTAAAAATATCTGGAAATTGTATTGTATTGAGCGTATTTATTTGTTTTTTTAAAAGCAATGCTGCACTATCTGAAGGCATCTCCCAACAGATAAAAAAATCGATGAAAAAAGGTAAGTTTCATATTAAAGATTTTTTTTTTTGATTTGTTTGGAAATGGGTTGGACCAGTTAAGTTAATATTAGATCCATAATCCAGTAACGTAGTTGAAAGCCATTGATGATAATTTTGAGCATTGGTAGAGACTGATGCGACAGAGTGTTCAATATAAGAAGCTCTGCCCTACTGTCAAACTTTGCTTTTCGGTTCGGAGGAATATTTATTTTGTCCAGATGTTTTTTGTTTATAACGTGCGTTTTTGGTAACAACAACAAATGTCCAGGCCCTCGTCTTTGCAGGAACAAAAACAGATGTTTTTTGTTTGAAGCTAAATTGGTCATGGCTTGCTTTAGTTTGGTCTGTTTTTTTGCTTTGTTTTTGTTTTGATTTAAACGATTTAAGGCTTAGGCAGCCCATTTTCGTGATATATAAATTTTTCATTTGATATCCACAAAAACAAAGTTTAATTGCTTCCTCACATAATTTTGTTCAACGTATGGTTGATTTACAAAATGAATATAAGAATATATTTTAAAAGTTGATAAAAATTTAAACATCTAGGCCATGGAATGGACAAAAGCAATTGTCCTTTTTTATTTTTTGATAGTTCAATATCTTATTATTGTTTCTATTTCACTTTTGTTTGCCAAAAAAAAAAAACAAACAAAAAAGAAAAACCTACTTTTCATAAACATTTAAAAATATTCGAAATTTTTTCATTTTTTCATTGCTTGCAAGTTACATGTTGTGTTGATGTACTAACAATTTTGCTTAATTTATTTAGTGTATATTTTTACAAAATACGATAATTTATTAAAAAATTTTTTATTAAATTGTCGTATTTTTAAAAAATACGATAATTTATTAAAAAATCTTGTATAAAATAAAGTGGGAATTGCAAACATGTTTAAAATATTTTCTTTTTTCGAAAATTTCTTGCATGCATTGCAAATTTTTATTTTTACTTTATAAAAGATGTGCTCGTCTTCCTTTTTTTGTTTTTTTTTTCTGCTTTACGTTAAAAAATTTTACATAATTTAAAATACCTTTAAATATTTTATTTTGAAATACATTATTTCAACTATAATTCCATTACTCATTTTAAAAAAAGGAGAAAGAAGAAAATATTTCTAATTTTATCTTAAGCTATTAAATTTCAAGACCTTTTCGGCTTGCAAATGCCTCTCAATGCCTATCATTGCAGGAATAATAATAGAAAAAATGAAAAATGTTCAAGTAAAATAAGTAAATAAATATATTGATATTTGTTAAATTTTCAAATTTTCGTTATATTTGGTTTTTGTATACAATAACGATATTTTATTTAATTAGAGAATTATGCTACAGGTGTTTTTAGTAAAAAATTTCATGCAAAAGTGTCAAATGTAAACAAAAACAAGATAAAAATGTTGCGTGGAGAATTTTTGTTAACTTTTGTTTACTATTATTAAAAAATTTTTGGATTTTGGTAATTTTCAGACACATATGGGTTGATTTTGCTCATTTTGGGATAACTGTGGACTGATTTTTGGTAGTTTTGAGATAACTGGGGATTGATTATTGGTAATACTGAGAGTTCAATTTTTATGCTACAGGTGTTTTTTCATTGTTTTGCGGCGTATTGAAAATAACTCTGCGATGAACATATGGTGTAAGGAGAAATAAATGTTTACATCATTTTCGAGAAAATAAGATCAAATGCAAAAAAATGCAAATGAAAGCAAAACAAAAATACATAAATATTATTATGTATATTATGCTTAACTACTTGGCAGTGACTGTAAAATATATAAATTACTTTTTCTTTGGTATTGCAATTTTGAGGCAACATATATATATAAAGGGCGTTTTTGTTTTAAAATACAATCGAAATTATCTATCGAATTTTCCGTAAACAATAAAGAAATAACATAGAAGAAACTATGAAGGTCGAAGACATTTTATAAATTTCTTGGAAAGGTATCACCTAGGAAGCCCAGAGCATACCCCGGATAAGAAGGCCCGAGTAAATTGCGATCAAATAATTCATTGAAAAACACGATAACTTTACCAGATGTTAAACTGGGAACCATACAGAATTTGTGGCAAGGGTTTAACGTGGGTTCCTGCCTGAAAGGCTTAACCCCACGGTGGCCCAAGCCACTTTTAAGCGTACTACGCCCCCTGGCGAGTTAGACAATCCCCACAGAGTAGGGGCCTAAACAGCACCAGAGTCCAGAACAGTTTATTGTGTATGGAACAATAAACCCCACTCTGGTCAATGGCGAGGCCTAGCTGCACTTAATTGTTCCATTTTAGCTAGGAACTCGCCAACCACAACCACCACGAGTACTCCCCGAAGGGCCGCACCCAAGCAGTCAGGACTCACAAATTGATCAACTGACTGCTTCCGCCATAGGGCTTCCACTGTGCTGTTGATCAATTACCACCATTACCCGCAGGCATCCGTGACATGTGTTCAAAAGTAAAAATAGGTAAAAGGGGAAACTTATTCGTCATTCACTGGGAACCATGCAGAATTTTGTGGCAAGGGTTTAACGTGGGTTCCTGCCTGAAAGGCTTAACCCCACGGTGGCCCAAGCCACTTTTAAGCGTACTACGCCTCCTGGCGAGTTAGACAATCCCCACAGAGTAGGGGCCTAAACAGCACC